TCCAGACTCATTGGCCCTACCGGTTGCCTCCATTTTTCGTAACACAAAGTCGCTTGTTTACTTTCTTGTTGTAGGCTCTCGTCATTCTCAGACGGTATATCTCATGGCGAAGGGTAGCATTGCCCCTGCGTTCCGGGAGGGAGTCCAATGCCAGCCGCATGGCCTCCCAATTCGCCTTTTCATCATAAAGCATGACTCTGAGAGTCGACTCGTAATGTTCAATGGGAAAGACGGCTTCAGCACCGTACACCATAAGAAATGGGGTTTCACTGGTTGCCCCTTTGGCAGTTTTCCGGATGGCCCACAGGACATGAATCAGCTCTTCTGCCCATAAGCCACCGGCTCTTTCAATTTTCTTTTTTATGCTGCTGAGATAAGCTTGTTGAAGGCTTCAACTTTGGCGTTTGCTTGGGGTTGGCCGACTGATGCAAAACAATGTGAAATTCCCTGATCTCCCAACCAAGTCTTAAGGTGAGGCGTTTTAAACTGAGGGCCATTATCAAACACCATACACATAGGTACCCCAAACCGGGTGATAATGTTCTTCCAAATGAAAGAGATGATATCCTTTGTCTTGATGTTCTTGACCAGCTCAGCCTCTACCCATTTGGTAATGTAATCCACAGCCACCAAAATATAACGCTTTTCCCCTGGTGAAGGCGTATAAGGACCCAAGATATCCATGCCCCACTTAGCAAACGGGACTGGGCTGTGGATTGCCGTCAGATCAGTAGCTGGGCGGTGGATAAGTTTGCCAAACCTCTGGCATTTGTCGCACCTCTTCACCAAATCTTTTGCATCTGCTTCAAGAGTAGGCAAAAATTAATGATGCCTGGCTTTGACGGCTAGGGACCTACCGCCTATATGAGAGGCGCAGTATCCAGCACGCAATTCTTCAAGAACTTCTTTCCCCTTTTTTAGGGTAACACACTTCAACAAAGGTTTAAGGAAACCCTCCATGAAGAGTTCTCCATTTCTCATCTCGAAGTTTGCTGCTCGCTTCTTCATGACGGCTGCGTCTTGTGGTGAATCAAGAAGTGTGTCGTCTGTTAAATATGCCTGAATGCCATCCATCCAGGTAGAGCTTCGATCCAGGAATCCAATGGGCTCTTCATATATACTTCTTTTTTTCAGAACTTCCCAAAAGACTGACCGAGGCATATCACAGCAGGCGGAAGATGCCAATTTGGACAATGCATCCGCCTGGTTGTTATCTGTCCTGGGCACTTAACTCAGACAGAATTCTTCAAGTGCCCCGGCCTCTTCTTTGTCTGCCTAATGATACTTGATCATAGTTGGATGAGTTGCCTCATATTTTCCCTCATACTGGCTTACGACCAACTGTGAATCAGAGTAGGCGTCAATTTGAGGCTTGAAACTTAAACCGCAGTGCATATTCAAATCTTTCCCCCTCAGGGGACTCATATATAAATCATGCACCGTAGCCGTTCTTCGTCGAGCTCCCGTCTACATACACTTTTCAAACCTGATCAATGTTATCAGGTGGTACCGGTCGTGTCATTTCAACAATGAAGTCGACAAACGCCTGACCTTTCACTGTCGTTTTGGGTTCAAAAGTGATTTCAAGACTTTGCATTTCAATAGCCCATTTCAACATTCTGCCGGATGACTCCAAGGTAGACATTAGTCGCTTGAGGGGCTGATCGGTGTAAATTACAACCAGATGTGCCAGAAAGTACGGCTTCAATTTCTTGAATGCCATATATAGAGCAAGGCCAAATTTTTCAACCATGGGGTATCGGAGTTCAGCATTTTTTAGAACATGGCTAATGAAATAGACCGAGAGCTGGATGTCGTCTCTCTCAGCATGGAGAACAGCACTAAGAGCATGATCTGAGACGGCTATATACATGTATAATGTCTCTTTGGACAGAGGGCTAACAAGCCTTAGCAAAGAGTGCAAGAGTTCTTTCAACTTTTGAAAGGCCGCCTCAGCATCATCCCCCCGTTCAAATCTGGTCTTCTTCCTGATTGCTCTGACTGGCTGAGGAACCTCCCCGGCGTCGCCAGGCAACCGGATAGTCTATGTATTTCCTTACAGTTCGGGGTGACTACATGTCAATAACCACCTGTATCTTCTCATGGTTAGCCTCTATCCCCCTTTAATCAATCATGAATCCGAGAAACTTCCCAGACTCAACACCAAAGACGCATTTCTTAGGATTTAACATTACCTTATACCGCATGAGTGTGGTGAAGGTTTCTCAGAGATCAACAAGGTGATCCGCCTTCTACTTGGATTTTACTATAATGTCATTAATGTATGCCTCCACATTCCTCCCAATTTCATTAATGAAGACCCTATTAATCATCCGTTGGAATGTAGCCGGCGCATTTTTCAAGCCAAACGGCATCACAGTGTAATAGAATAACCCCTGATCAGTGACAAAGGTCGTGTTCTTTTGATCTTTTTTCCACATGGGTATCTGATGGAAGCCGGAGTAGGCATCAATGAAACTCATCAAGGCATGCCCGGCTGTTGAATCGACCAGAATGTCGAGTTTTGGAAGCAAATAATTGTCCTTGGGACATGCCTTGTTGAGGCCTGTGTAATCTACACACATACGCCAGGTACCATTCGGCTTCTTACAAGCACAACATTCGCCACCCATTGGGGGAAATTGCATGGCCGAATGAACCCAGCATCCAGCAGCTTTTTTACCTCGGCAGCTGCCGCCTGACTTCTTTCCTCGCCGTGATTTCTTTTCTTTTGTCGAATGGGCTACTTTTCAGGATCCACGGCGAATTTATGGACAACAAGATCCGGGATGACGCCTGGCATCTCTTCCACTTCAAAGGAAAAAATGTCTTTGAATTCTTTTAGCAATAGGTGCAGGTCTGCACCTAGCTTAGCATAAGCAGCCGTCCCAACCTTAAAAATACGCTCCGGACGGCTGTCGTCCAGAGGTATATCAATATGTTCTCAAGCCGATTGGGGACGGAGCTCATCTGACCGTTCCCCGGTCAGTGATTTCTAATTTTTCTCTTTCTTCACCTCCACCAGCAGAGGAGCCTTTCTTTTCTTCCCGGCTGCTGCTGGGGCTGGGGCGGCATCCTTCACATTGTCAAAGTCTATTGGTTCCTGCCCTTGGCCGTCTGGGACCACAGTATCCTTGACGGGTGAGAGGTAGCACTCTCGGGCCGTCTTTTGATCCCCATTTAAGGAACCAACAGAGCCATCATCCCTCTCTCATACTTGATGAACATGAGAGAAGGGATGATTACATCCTTGGATTCGTTGAGGGTTGGCCGACCTAGAATAATGTTATAGGCCGTCAGTTCCTCAACGACCAAGAATTTGACGACCAGGTGTCGTCCTTTTCCTTTTTACCTAGCCAGATAGGTAAGTCAATCCTACCGACTAGGTATACCATCCCACCCCCAAAACCAACCAAGGGGTGGGTAACCGGATGCATCCTTCTTAGTGATCATAACGTTTGGGAAGGAGGAGCTTCCTGCCGCCTAATCATCATCATCATCATTGTCCATCGTTCGAAGATGGCTTTTGGTGCCCCGGATGGTAGGGCCACCACATGAGAACTCGCTTGCTATGGTGTAGACCGGCTCCTTATCAATGTTCGAACTACTACTAGGCTTGGGTGTCTTAGATGACTGCCCCGGGTTATTCTTATTAGTCCCTTTGGACTTAGAAATGTAGGACTTTAACATCCCCTTGTCAGCTAGACGATCCAACGCCTATTGAAGGCTGAAACAGTCGTTGGTATCATGGACGACCTCCTCATGGTATTGGCAGAATTTATTTTTGTTCCTTGATTGAATGGAACTTTTCATTGGATTCGGCTTCTCTAGAGACAGCCGATCCTTAATCTCCATGAGGATGGAGTTGCAGTCCTTGTTAAACTCGTACCTAGGGACGTACAGTTTAAATTCTTTCTTTTTTCTTCTAGGACGGCTGGTCAGAATCACTACTCAGCCTATTGATGAATAATAAACAAGCAATACAAAAGCTATTATATTCTCTTCTCCCTAATTTGTCATGGTATCAAGAGCAGGTTAAATCTTGGGACCGCTCACAAAAATTTCCCCCCTACCGGTGGGTTAGAAAGGTTAAACCCACCGGTGGGATTCAAAATTTTGCTTCCGCTATGCAATATTAATACTCTTAAAATTTTTATTTTATGTGAGTGGACTTCCTCCACGATAACACATCTTTGGAGATGAAGACATTAAATAGCGTTATGCTTGACGCAATATTTAAAAATAAAAATAAAATAAAAAAAAAAACAACAAAAAAACAAAAAAAAAAACGGCTCTCTTGTGTCGTGAGACAAGATATATTTGGTTCTCCTTGTGCCGTGAGACGAGGTTTGTGAGTTGATTCGAGCATAATTTTGCTCCTTTGGATTTGAGTGTGGTTTACTCTGAAAGGCCAATAAGAAATTTAAGTGTGGTTTACTCTAAAAGACCAATAAGAAATTTGAGTGTGGTTTACTCTGAAAGACCAATAAGAAATTTGAGTGTGGTTTACTCTAAAAGACCAATAAGAAATTTGAGTGTGGTTTACTCTGCCAAACCAATATTTGATTGGAGCTCGGTTTTTCTCTGGAAAAACCAAAATTATTATATTTGCAGGTTCGAAAAGAATGACGTTCCTGCTTGATTGATTGATGACTGATGAGTTCGAAAAGATGAACGTTCTCATCATTGAAAAAGAAGAAAAAAATTGAAGGCAACATCACAAGAGTGTGCATCTCGGCTTCAACAAAGTGAAGAATTTCCAATCGCAACGTTCGTGTTACTGCCGTTACGATTGCGGGAGGGTGTTAAAGAATCGGAAAATATATGGGAAAAAATATGTGTGATATATTTTCCGTATTGATCTTATTAGGAGAATAATATATTTAGGTTTATTATATGTTAAGATATTATTTAAGTATATCTTTTAGGAAGATTGTTTCCTATCTTATGTTCTTAGGTTTTGTATAAATACTCAACCTATTGATGAATAATAAACAAGCAATACAAAAGCTATTCTATACTCTTCTCCCTAATTTGTCAGGATATTTACATTACCCATAGCTATTAGTAGAAATTATAAGAGAAACAAGGCTAAAAGGAACATTTACCAAAGTATGTTTGGTAATTACTTTACACTAATCAATTATACTCAAGGATCACTATGCCGAATGGAAGCGAAATTCTGCTCCCCAAGCTCAAAGAATGATTAAGAAGCTAAATTTTTGTTTATGTGCTTACAGATCCTAGATGGTTAGTCAAGACTTAGACAAGCACTGGATCTTCTATTCTCCAGTTACTTCAACAAGACTAGGCTTTGTAAGTACTCTTTCAAAAAACTCACGAATCTCTGGTATAATGCGTTGAATTAGGCGAGGGTACCTGTGACATGAACCAGTGCACAAGATTAATCCAATGAACACAGTTCTGTGAAGTTATACGATGTAGTTTTTCTTGAAATCTCAGGTTTCCAATTGTTACTTCATATGAAGAGCATGTCCTATCAACCAATATTGTATTCACATGAACATCAAGTTTGACACAAATAGCACAACTGTGCCAGCATTTTTAAGACTTTCTGTGCACTCAAATAAACATTGCCAACTCCAGAGATCTAACAAGATGAATTCCCCATCCAATTTAACACTTCTGAGCCATTTAAAAATAAATAAAAAAACAAAAAAAAAAAAAAACAGTACGCGAATGATGTTGCCCTCATAATAGGCAGATTCATAGCAGTTAATTCTAAAGCCGACAAGAAACCAGTTGTCGTAAACATAATTCCCACATGGATGCTTACTGTGATTGCAAGAGTAACACTACATGTCTACAAATTTGTTAAAACCCCCCTTTTTTTTACAGCAGCTAAAACTCCTATAATATTGTAACAATTCAACAAGTTTTTCTAACACAAATAATTAAATTATAGACCTTACAGCTATATAGTTCTGACTTCTATCAATACAAGTTCAAAAAACTCTTATAAAGGCAGCGAAAATACAAGACCTTTGTGATGAATTCTTACCAGGACTTGGAACTTAGTCCATCAAACTGCTCCAAGATAAACAAGATGCATGTATGCCTTAATGACACAGCATTATATGCCTCTGACGACTCATACATGAATGTAACGTTCTCTACAGAGATATCCTGAAAGTTTCAGATGCGTTTTTGAAAATAATGGTTGTTAGCTACTTGATATCCAATATAAGAATATAAAAACATGCTAACTCAATCTCACGCATACCTGCGCAATGGCATACTCGCAAAGCCGTTTAAGACCATCAAGTAGATACTGGTCAGCAGCTCTAAGCAAATCCTGAGCAACATCCAAATTGACATTTACAGATCCTGTATATATATATCTGCAAACCCACAAAACAAGATTAGCAACCTCCACAGGGCCCAATTTCATTCCAACAAAATTTGACGAGAACCTCACCTCATCATTAACTCAAATACACTCCATCTTATATTAGGAATCTCTATATCTTTAGCATCCTTCTCCTGCAATCAGTCACATGAAAATTCAATCAAATACTGTATGCGTTGATTTGACATTAAAATACATCTGTTTATAAAAACAAGTAGATTGTAAATGATGTCAGAAAAGATGCATCTATAACTAGTGAACAGAAAGCTACTCAGATTATGATGCACTTACTCGATAACCACCATCAAACATTGCACGAAATGCATCAGAAGATGCAAGAAGGCATATACGGTGAGCATAAAATCTCCTGCCTGAAAGTAAACGGAAGTATAATTAGCTTCTAAATTATATTTATCATTTGAAAAAAAAAACGTGTAGAGTACATGAAAATAAGATATTTTACCTTCTACAAGGAAGGTAACATCAGACAATGTTGAATTATTTACATATTGCTCACCTAAATACACCTGCCCATACAAAGAAACAAGACTGATTAACAGGCATCATAACCGGAATAAACGAAAATGAGTCTATAAAAGCAGTATAGATACCCTAGAATGAGATCAACGATTATAGCAAAGAATATCTTAAAAGCAGATTTCCAGCTATTTTTCACAAACTGCTGATTCCTCGAACAAACTATATTGTAATTGATAAGCCTGATAGCACACACCTGTGGAGTTGGTGATGGAGGAGCTGCATCAACTGGTGAAAGTATATTGGTTTTGCTAGCCATCTTGTACAAAGCTATTGAACCATCTTGCTGTTGCTTAGTACCTGAAGATTCAAGAAGCTCCAGGAGTAAATCCAAACCTGTAAAGAATATAGTCACAGAAAATAAATATATAAATCCAAATCCAAACAGAGAAATTTAGTCCCTTCAAAGTGTAATTAAATAAAAAATAATAATAATTAAAAATAAGCAGTGTTGTAGTGGGATAATAGGTGTTCTATTGAAGACGTAACCATGACCTGTTAGACAAAACATAAACAAAAATTACCATTGTTGTCGATGAAAATCCTCCTCTGATCTTCTGATGAACAAAGATGAGCAAGTGCAATAGCAATTCGTCTTTGAACAGGTTTATCAGCAACCCGCATGAGGTACAACAGATGGTTTAGTACCTATTTATATGTTTCATGGAATAAAGAATATCAGAAAGACTACATTTCAGTGACAGATTGAACTAGGCCTGAGATAAAATGGTGAAATCATACTCTTCCTTGGATCTTCTCTTCCATTCTCTTCATAGTCTTTGCCACACAATCCTTGGTTGGCTGCAGAAATGCCAATCAAACTAGTATTAGAAACCGAATAGCAGTTCTCAATTGAAAATAAATCCTGGACGTAAAGGAGGGAGAGGCTATGATTGGAAGTCTGAAAACAGCCAAAATGCACAATGCCTTCTCCAGATTGCTAAACTAAATTACCTATAGCTCAAACAAATTCAACTACATATTTCTTTATATATCTTAATCTTTATTGCTCAATGTTAGCACTTTCCAAATTGTGGTATTAATATAAATTAAGATTTTTTTCTAATGTTTTTTTTTACTTGATTATATTATTTATTATTTTAAGGGATTCTTTGCCTCAATTGTGTCTTGAAATTTGAAACTACCCTATTCCCAACCCTGTCAATATGTTTATGCAACATAAATCATGTCAACATGGCTACATCAAGGCTAGGTGATGAGTCATTGAGTCCAAGCATCGTTGGTCATTAAAACTTTTATGAGCTAACTTAAGGCCATTATAAAGTAATTTTCCAAGTCCCGATATGTTAAGCACTCACTTCATGAATTAGACGGATGAGACAATAAATAGAGCTTAAATTCAATCAATTCAAGTAGAATTGTCACCAAACTCACCATCCAGATTAAGAATAATTTGGATGGAAGTGGCTTCTGGAAGTATTGGGAAGAAGCAAATGAGGCTAAAGAGCTTGAACATACATCATAGATATGGTGGCATGATAGAAGAAGATTATGATATGATCAGTTCTCTACTGCTGAATTGCAACATTTATGTTTAGTGGATCATAAATTGAATAATGTACCAAAAATTGCAGCATAGGAAAAAGTCAAAGAAGTCCTAGTGATAAAAAGATTCAAGACAAGTGCATGAATCTCAAATCTCACATTGAGGCAAAGGATGAGATGGAAGTAAAAGCAATGAAGTACAGCAAGCCTGCACTGCAACCTATTCATTTCAAGCAAAGTTGCACACCTTCCATTCACATTGAAGTACGATATCCTTACATTTTTTAATATAGATACTAAAAATGACTATTAGAAATATCACAAATTGTTATCATATTTTTAATATATTCTAAAGTTTTTTATTTAAGTAGAATCGGTAGCTTCATCATCTTATCTAAAGTTATGTAAACATCACCCTCTCTGTCCCTATATAAAGGTTTCATTCTCCCAAATATCTTGTCCCTACATAAAGTCCTACCTCATTTAAATAATATAATTAATTACTTTGGTTTCATTTTTATTCTTCTTTTCTCCGTGATGATATTTCTTCCAAGTGAGTGCACCAAATGCTCACTATCTCTTACTACTATCGACAAACATTAAAATTAAATGGATTCATTACTTTATTTGTTTGCATTTGATCAACTAAACCCCAACAATTTTTTCCCTTCAAAAATACATGAACAAATGGCATACGGGAATTTTAGAACAGAAAGAAACCCACAACCAAAAGACCCAAAATTTCAATAGAAGCATTATCTGATCATACCTGAGCTATAAATTCCCCTTCCTGGAGTTTCTGAACACCACCAATTTTAATAAGATCTGCAATATTATCCTATCATACAGACCTGATGAGCTGATTGTACAGAAAAGAATATCAAAATGGAACAAGCCAGCAAAGCATTTTCCAACAATACCTCGTTGTCTGCAAGGCCATATAAAGCAAATGCAGCATTATGCTGTAGAGGACTACTTTTTGAATCAAGTAGCTTCAACAAGGGCATGATACCACTACATTGAACTATACCAGCTTGATTATGTGAATCCTTCAAACAAATAAAAGTAACGTTCCATTTAGTACCAAGGCACCATACAATAAGGGCTGCTTTGACAGAATAAGACATCACAAACAGCATACAGGGCCACTACTGCAGAGAAAAGACTGGTATTAAAAAGAGAGAAACCGCAAAGCGAAGAGTAAACACAGGCAGCATACCTGAGCCAACCTTCCAAGAGCAAAAGCAGACATTTCCATAAGCTGAGCATCAGGTGAATGGAGCATCTCGATCAAAGGTGGGACAGCACCTCTCTGGACTATGTGTACCTACATATATATTGTTGGTTATACCACTATAACAATCCTATTCAGAATTTTAAAATATAAATAAATGTCGAATGAAGGTAACCTTTTTTAATTGCAACTAGAGAGCTAACCTTGGAATCTGAATCAGCAGAGGCAAACTGTCCAAGGAGTAAAGCTGCCTCTCTTTGGCTCTCACAACAGCAAGAGCTGCATCAAGTAGACAATATGAAGCAGGTAACAAGATATTTAAAAAGTGAATTATTAACTTTGGGCATAGGACTAATACACATACCTGAGCAGCCTGATGACAGGTTGCACGGCACCAGCTTGGAGAACATCTTTCTTTATGTTAGGAGACGAGTGAACCAAATTCCCAACGACACCAACCTGCAAAATTTGACATACCACCAAAGTGAATAACTAACAACAACCCACATTATATCAAACATACAGCTTTACAGCCTATTCTGAAGAACAGTTGAACACTAACCGCTTCATAGTGAATAGCTGGGTCCTCAGAGCGAAGCATTAATATTAGGGTAGGCAAAGCATTGCATTCTACAATCTGCAGATACATAAAAACAATTGGTTAGGTACTTAGGTTATCGCTTGGCGTTACAAAGTAGAATTTGGCATGGATCATAGTAAGCATTACTTGATTTTTATTCTCATCATTTTTGAAAGCAAGAGTTCTTAGAGCACCAGCTGCTGCTCTTTGGACTTTGACATCAGTAGAATCTAAAAGTTCGACAAGTGGTGGAATGCCGCCTTCAACCCTGTCCAGAAATAAAACAAAATGTCACAATATAGCAAATACGTCTCTTAAAAATGGTGAAGCAGCTGGAGACATGTACAATGCTACAAACCTGACACGAGATTTGACATTATGATTTTCATGAGCCAAATTAGTTAAAGCATCGGCTGCTCTTCTTACAGCACCACAGAGAGATCGAGAATTACAGCCACTTTTATGCTTTTTTAAAAGAGCAACAAGATGAGGCAAAACACCTGCGTCAAGTATAACTTGTTGGTGTTCTGGCTGTGAAATTAACCAAAATCCAAATAAGAAAGAATTCATCAAAAAAAAAAAAAGTCCAAACACTAATTACAGCCATTTTTATTCAACATTATGATACAGCTCAGGTAAACGAGTCAAAATCGTAGGATATTAACAAGTTATTTAGACCTCAAATTATGACATGGTATAAACATACAAAACCTACCGAATCCATCAAATTTTATTACAGAATCGGCCCAATAATGGCAGAAACATATAAACAAGGTATCTGTTTGACAGTTTTTACTCGATTAAACCACACAAAATAACAACAGCCAAATAAGGTTCTTGGTATTATGCTATTCATTGCAGAGAATAGCTATTATTTTAAAACAAAATTAATAACAAGAAATTTCGAAAGGCAATCAAATTAGTAACCTTAGCAGCAATAAGACCGAGCGCAAAAGCACTTCCTTTCTCAACCTCGTGTTCAAGGGGCTTCGAAACGCCGTCGTTTGGTGGCGACTGAAGATGCATCACTAAAGCTGGCACAGCTCCACAATCAACTATCAAACTCGCCAATTCATCTGAACAGAAACAAATTAAAAATCACAAAAATCGTATTAAATGCAAATTACATCAAACTAATAAAAATCCTGATTTTTTTTTTACCGTTTTTGGCGAGTTCGGAGAAAAAATGAGTGGCGCGTTTGGAATCGGCACGATCGGAATCAGACGACGAGAAGGAGCGATGAAGAAGATGAACATACGAATTAATCTCGACTATCAGATCTTGATGATTCGGTAGTTTCATTGAAGGAGAAAGATCGAGCTTGGTTTGACGAGTTTCATTGAAGTCTTCTTCAAGCTTACGCTTCAAGCTTCTACGCGCGCTGCCTGATCTTCGCTCGCTGCGATCCATGGCAATGGCGGGAGGGGTGTTGAGGAAAATTGGATAGATAGAGAAGGGTAAATTGGGAAAAGAAAAAAGTGAAAGAGAGGAAGTTTTTATTCTGGTGTGAATATTTTTGATACGGGAATGTGATTTTGTCGGTTTTTATATAAACTTGTGTTTTTAATGAGGTCAGCAAATGAGTCGCGGGGTTATTTAAATTTTGAGGAAACTTTGCGCTCCCGCCTTAGTTTCATATTTGCCTGTTGGCTTTTTCCCAGTTTTCTCCTTGATTAATTTATTAAAAAAAATAATAATAATAACCCTGTAAATGTGAAATTAATCAATTAAATAATTTACTATGTACTCATAAAAAGGTTAGTTGTAAGACTTGTAACCTAATTGCTCCAAGCCCTAAATTTTCACATTTTATCATCCATAAGGCAATATTTGAATTTACATAATAAGTAGGGTAAAAAATTTAATGGACAACTAGTTTCAAGGAATAGGCACTACTACAAAAAAAAGCCTTTAAAGAACGGTTAGAATAGGCTTTATAGAACGCTTTAAAACCGTTCTTCTGCTAAGCGATGAGTAAAGTATATAGATCGCCTTAAAGAGGCGTTTTATATGTTGAACAATAGAGTACGGTTCTTTGTCATAACCGCTCTCTTTTCCCTTCTTGAAATTAGAAAAAATGAAGGAAAAGTGAACGGTTAGAGTACTTAACCGTTCTATGTTATCCTTACAAAATAGAACTGTTACCTAAGATTACAGTTCTTTAATCCTAAAAAAAAAACCCCAAAATTGCTAGCTTATATATCGTCCTGCTATATTCCTATATTTCCAACTGTATTTTATTTGTATATCTTTGTTTTTGAATATTTTACTGTGAAATTACACTAATTGTTTTGGGTGTTTTTGTCCCTCGGGAGAGCTACAACTCAAAGACTGGTTGAGGAGCGCTTGTACCTGCAAAACAACGGAGACTCCGGATGGTTGGAGCTCCGCCTCTGACGATCAAGTTAGAACGTGTAGGAGTGAGTAAAAAGTGCGGAAAAAGATAAAGGTGAGATCTTCTCGGATTCCAAGATCAGGAGATTTCTCTAATGTAAGAGAATATCAGTTATTTTGTAATAATTTCAATCAGTCCAACAAATGGGAGAAAAAGGGTCATTCTGGATAAGTGTGCCCTTACCTAGGTGTAGGCGTCGCTCGAAGTGCGCATACGTTAGCAGCATGTGTGAATATGCTTGGCACTCTTAGGAAGTGGGAATTGACATAATACGATTAGGGACAAATAAAGTAGGGAGCCGGCAACAAGTTTTTAAGGAACTTGTAAACCGTTCACGGATCACAAAAGATAACCACGATTAAGGGACAACGATAGGCAACAACGATTGACCCGTGAAGGTTACACCCCATTCATAATCCATGAGATTACTAACTCCATATGGTTCGGAACAACGAAAGGAAGATCGGGGATGATGGTACGAAGTGAGTCATGGAGTCACATTCGCCCGTATTGGCCTCTACTCGATTCTTATAGTGAAAAATGATTCCTGCGATCTCAAAGGCATACAAACAAAAATTCAATTTTCTCCAAACTATTATTAAGCTAAATTGGTTGAATATTAATGCAAAATGTAATTCTAAAATATTGTGATCACTTAATTAAATAATAACAAGATTAAAAAGGAACCTAAACCGGTTGTCCAAATCATCTTATTATGCATGATTTTCAATTACATATTCCCTTTAACATGCAATATGGTGATCAATAAATAATAATAGAATAAACATCAATATTGAAAGCAATTTGACAATAATAGCGTTAATCAAATATAAAATAACCTAATCATGATACTAGCAATATTAAAAATAAAATAAGAGTAATTAAATTAATTAATTACTCACATTCTGCGCGTTCCCTTAAATTGCTACATCATGAATAAATTGTTAGTAACTTCAATAAAAAAATATAAATCAAATGAAAATTAAATTAAATAAATATAGATTTGATTTGATCCAACCCTCAATTATTGGTACCCTTCATGACTTGGTTTAAGGACGGAGCCTCGGGTGTTGTATGGACTCCTTGGAGTGCTTAGGGGAAGAATGACGTAATTAGGAATATAGGTTTGAGGCTTAGAATATGAGAGAAAGAGAAGAGAATGATTTTTGGTGTAAAAGAGAGAAAGAGAGAAGGATTTGATGCCCCGAACTGCAGAAATGAGGGTCATATTTATAGGGAAAACGAGCAGAGGGAACACACGGAACCATAAAAAGATAAAAACACTAAAAAATAACACCGCGACACGACTGAAAACACCTTGACACGGTGCCAGGCACCGTCAGACAGGGGAAAATTCCGTGACGTGGTGGACAAGTGGAGTGACACGGGAAATATTTGACATACGAGAAGTGAAAACGCGTGAAGGGTTTACACAGAAAAGACATGAGAAAATTCTGTGACACGGCAGTGTCCACCATGGCACGGTACAGTACACCATGTCACGGTATGAGAAAACGTGGAAATTACATGGAAAAATCACTGTGACACGATGTTCAGTACCGTGACACGGTGCTTTTGCACTGTGCACGGTGATTTGAATTTTTTACCCGTTTTTAAAATCATCATACTTTTAATTCGTAAAGCGGAATAAGGCATATAATATATCATTGGAAAGCTTATCAAGTCTATTTTCGAACACAATTAGAATCAGGTAAAAATTATTTGTATATTTTAAGATATGGCCGTTTTAGTGGAAGGGTGTTGGTTTTGGGCCGAGTTTAGTGTTTTGCTCATATCTTTTTCGTTATAGCTCGGAATTGGGCTTATGATATATCCATAAAATTATTTTCTCTTGGTTTTGCGATGTGGACACGAAAAGTGGAAAATAGGTTATGGTTTAGGGAAATGAGCTAGAAATGGGATTGGTTCATGAAATATATTGGATAGAACATGGATTTAAGCACTCCAAAGATTAAATACTCAACCCAACCAATAATGGCGGTGAAAGGTGTTCATCATCGGGTTTGGTTTTGGGAAGACATTTTTAGGTGTATACACTAGGTCATTTGACCTAGATTTGGTGGGCTGCCCGGCTTTTGGCAACTTTTTGGGAATTGGGCCTTTGAAAGCCGTCATTCCTTTTGATGACAGTGGATTCCACATGTCATTTCGTAAGTGGCCCAATTTAGGCAAATATAAGATGGACACGTGTCCTATTCTCATTGGACCACGTGGCGGGGTAATTTTACCCAAAACATTTGCCCCTCATATATGTGACATGGCAAGCCACGTGGCATCTGTGACACGCCTCACTCACACAGTGGTGGAACATGAATTACTGTTCACCTTTTGGGGAATTACTAGGATGCCCCTGAAGTTACCCCTCTATAAATAGAAACTTTGCCCCCCTCATTTTCGCTCATTTACGAAAAAAGGTCTTGAGAGAATCTTTAACTTTTCTTTGAAAACAACACTTCCGTCTGCCACTTGCTATTTGCCGCCTGAGCCAGTCGGCTTCAACACTACCTCTTTCAAGTAACTACCTGCTCTATTCTCTCTTTTTTCAATTTCCTTTCAGTTCGCTTGTGTTTGTTTTCTTTTTTGAAAATGGTATCACAAACACACACAGCACGACCTAGGGTAGCTGTCAGCCGGTAACCTGGGATGGCTGAATCTAGAACTAGGGGTGCCGCCTATCTAGAACTGCTCTCGCCAACGTATCCATCTGTGTCTGTGCAGGACACTATGGGGCTAGAACAAAAAGGACAGCCTGATCGCCTAGTGATGAAGAGGACGAGGGTCCTTTCAGGGTTCCCAGAAGCGAGGTATCTTATTACCCATCCGGCGTCCCAATGACGCTGACTGAATCGATTCTGAGTGAACCAGAAAATGCTTCCAGCAAAGAGGCATCTGATTCTGGTGAGGGTTTGTCCCAGTCGGATGCTAGCTCAGGCAGCCTCAGGAGTGAGGAAGAGCCGCTTGTGAATGCTGAAGAAGGCTTTGAAAATGAGGCCGCCTCTATCGAGCGAGGCCAGGAAGAAACTTCTTCCTCTCTTCAAGAAAAAATTTACTCCTGCTTCACCCATATATCTGCGTCTACCCAGAGAATCATGCGAAAAAAACTTGGATAATTTCCGTGACACCTATGACATGGGTGCCATCTATAAGATAAGCGTTCCGGCCCTTAACGATTCAGTCGTCTGGCTGCTTGACCAGAACTATGGGGATAGGTGCTTTGGGTGCTATGCGGCCACAATATAGGCGGGCCTTAGGTTTCCGCAGGATCCGACAATTGAAAGGATCCTTGACGGGTACCGCCTGGGGATATGGCAACTAGCACCCAATTCTTGGGTTAATATTCTAGGATTCGTAGCCGCCTGCAGGATGCAGGATGTTGAGCCCAGCTTTGAGGCCTTCACCCATATGCATTACCTTAGCAAAGCTCCTGCATCAGCTTGCCCCGGGTGGTTCACCTTGTCATGTAACAAGGGTTACATGATGACTTTAGGGAAAGAGAACAAATGAAAGGATTGGAGAAACAAATTTTACATTATTTCTTCCCCTGATACCATCCGTAACCGAAATTATAACTCCTAGAACCAAAATTCCTATCTTAGCAGTGAGAAAGGAAGAGGTGGGCAGCCGCCTGAGTCTTTGCATGGCCATCATTTCATTATTCATTCATTTTTTTACTAATATCTCATTCGGCCTTTTACAGAAGAAGCCATGTCTCAGCTTGATCCGAACAAAAAACCAGGAGGTGGCACTTCTGCTTACCGCCAAATAATGAAGCACAAGAACCAAGTATTCAAGAAAGAACAGCTCGAGCATGTAAGCTTTTCTACATCCGTCCTCTTGTCATTGGCCTTTTTCAAACTTCTTATTTCAAAGTCAATTCTTTTTCAGGAAGGATCAGTGAAGCCGCCTGTACTGCCAACACTTGGGGTGAGGCCCCCGAAGCAGCTGGCTCCGGATGAGGGCCAGACTCCATCTAAAAGGAGGAAGATTGTTGCTCATAAGCCGTCGGCCAGCCAGTCTAAGTCCCACCCCTCTATAGGCGGCAAGTCGCCGGCTGTAATGGCTGCTTTGAAGCAGGCGGAGGAGTCCAAATCAACAAAGGGAGAAAATCCAACTGGGGCCACCGACTCTCCAGGCGGCCATTCAAGAAGGTGGAGGGACAAGAATGCTCAGGATCTAGTCATCATCCTAGGTACCTCCGCCTTTGATCCCTTACCTTACTCTTGTAGGGTTAAGACTTACAGTCATTCGTCAACCAGTCTGAAACCAGTCGGTCTTTTGGCCGGATGTATGCCAGGCTCTCACCAAGTATTG